GGTTTAATATAAGCATTCGGATACAGACAAAAGTTTTTTGTCTTATACCTACCAAGTGATCTTCTCTTCTATTTATCGTAACTATTCAGATTGATCAAAAGGATAGATACAATCTGTTCTAACGTTTTTTCTTGAATGTATTGTTTACAGACATGATAGTTAGTAGTGACCTTAAGCAAGCCTCACGAAGGAAGCTCTCGAAGTAATAAATTGCTTTTGAATCGAAACTATGTGCATTATGTAGACCGAAATAAATTCATACCTGTATCTTCTTATTGCTGCAGAGAGACTGCACTTTTATTCTAGGCTTTATTAAATGAATGCCATGCTACAGAAAAACTGATTTTCGAATTGAAACTTTGCATCAAGACAGATCTTTATGACAATAGTTCTATTACATGATTCAAAAGTGCTGCTACGAAAGTTGGAAAGCATAGCAATTATTCAAGTCTATATTGTTTGCAAAGAACATGTGTACCAGAAAAGCACAACAATCGACTCTTATCTCATCTCTATTGAATCGCATGTTATTGGTTTATATTTTTGAAGTTTTTGATGACAAAATAAAATAACATTATTATAATTGCTTAGTATCATTCGGCATAACATCAGCTGGAGTTTTACAGTTTACGTTAATACTGAAATTGTTCAGAATTGTTCAATCCATACCTACGGTATTATATAGATAACATAAAAAATATATAGCTAGAGAGCGGTAGCCTGTCTTAGGAAAATAAATCTGACACTTTTCATAGTTCAACCCACACCCTCCCTGAGGGTCGGATCGAATTGTAGGACTCTACACGACATTCATTTAAAAAACACTGTAAAAGCAATTTATTAGATGGATGAGTTTCCTCTTTCAGTTCATTTCGACAAAAGATAATGCTATGTGTTACATATCTATTTTTCTCATTCTTACAGTCATTTTTTGATATCCAAGAATTTCTGAGTGATTGATATTATTGATTCTACACAATTTTTATTTATTTAGAATAAGATCCAACTAACTTTCTTGGTCTATCAACTATTGTTTGCATTACATTAGAAAAAAAACAGATATAAATGATTTTATTTTTTGATTACAAGGATTCATTGATTAATCATAGGTCATTCAAGAGCAGAATATGTTTTCATCATAATAATTACTAACAATAACATTATCGGAGTTATGCTTCTGACTCAAGAATTTAATTTCTTTTAAACAAAAAGAAAATAGCATTATAATGATTATTTTTCATCGTGAAAGTTGTGGTGAAGCAGTCGAAAAAATCAAGTAGATAAAGATATAACAAGTATATGTTGAGGAGTACTAACACATTTTTCTATTGATTGAGGAAAAGATTTTACGTATGATATGATTTATTTGCATTTTTTTATTATTTTTTTTATGTTATCTTTTATATAAATTATATAGTACCAACAAATATGAATAAAAGCGAAAAGAGACAAAATGAATGATTTGAAATATACCGCGGAAACGTACAAATTTATTGTGGGTTTTTCTTCTTTTTTTTGAATTATTTATTAAATCTCTATCACTCAAGCATTTTGCTTCGTTAGCTGGATATCTAGTCTCTACTGTAAATGAGAATCATTTGTCAGAAGCATTTCAATGCCCATAGATAATTGAACTCTAATTCAAACAGATGTCAATCGTTTTTTCTGAAATTTCTTTTGAAGAATTTTTCCTAGTCTAGAAGATTTTTCCATAAATTAGAGATCAATAGCTATTGCTGAATAGAAGCCATTGATGAAACTTGATGCCAATACTGCAAGCCTCATAACTGGTTGAAATTCTAGTCTGACACAAATATTTACATCAGAAAAGTTTTGACTAGCTATCTATGATTTCGTCAATTGAAAGTTAAATTTTGATTGATAAATGCACGAATAAGTGTCTAATTTCTAGTATAGAAATGTTACTTGAATTCTTTGAGATCCCGACGTATAACAAGCCTTAAACTATTGGCATCAAGTTTGTCCGATAACTGCTGCTCAAAATGATAATAATCAAGGGCTTGTATTTATTTGAGCAATAAAAAATATAGAATGAGCAATAATAAAAACATGATTTAGCAATAATTTTTGAGCAATAAAAAATGTTTATTTGAGCAATATTATAATATAAAATGAGCAATATTATGATATTAAATGAGCAATATTTTGACATTAAATGAGCAATAAATAATTTATTATATAACAATATTAATTTCATATTTGAGCAACAAAAAAAGATAGAAGTGAATTATTTTTATTTATAATTTACAAGAAACAAAAAAGAAAAATGGGTGTGGGTGTGGGAGGGTCTGGGTGTGGGGTAGACATCGGCGTGATCAATATTTTTTGGTCACGGTCACGTCACGGTCACCATCAGTTTGGTCACGGTTACGGTCACGGTCACGACCGTTGCCATCGTGACCGTGACCGTGAGTCACGGTAGCCATGCCAGTCTCTATACGAACGACTATTTTCTTTTTTCTCAAAACAGCATACCCTTCTCTTCCGATAGGAGGTCCCTATATTAGAAGGCTTTCCATAATAGAAGACCCCCTTGGAGAAATACGTGCGAGACTTAGTATAAGACTTTATTCAATTATCAAATTTTTCGAAAAATGACAACTTCAACCACTGGATTTACATCATAATATGCTTAGTTTTCAGAGTTTTCAGCTACAAAATTTAACTAAGTGTTTTCAACCTTTTATCTAGGCTTTTAAAATCCGAAAAATTCCTTCTCAAAGCATCAAAATCGCTTTGGCTTTCTGAACAATTTTTTTAGTTGCAATCTGTAGAAAGAAAAGAGACATTACCCAAGACCCTCTGGAAAACTTTTGGGATTAGACACAATAGAAAACCTCGGATCTTGGGTGTGGGTGGGTGTGGGTGTGGGTGTGGGTGTGTGGGTGTGGGTGTGTGGGTGTGGGTGTAGGTGTGGGTTCATTGTAGTTTAACACCCACACCCACACCCAAGAATCAGAAAATAGTGTGCTATGAGTTGTGCTTGAGTGATGTATAAAAGTTATATATAAATTTCATGAGGATAAGAAAACGTTTATTGTTGTAAAAAAACGAGTTATTATTGCCCTTTTATATACATTTTACGCTTCATTTTAATTAATTATTGCTCATTTCATGGAATTATTGCTCATTCAATATATATATTGCTTATTCAATATATATATTGCTCATTCTATATATATATTGCTCATTCTATATATTTATCGCTAAATTTGATTATTGCTCATTCTGTATTTTTTATTGCTCATTCTGTATTTTTTATTGCTCAATTAAATATAAGTCATAATCAAGCAATACTATCGAATTCTCGTTTTGAATGGTATGATGGAATTAAACTTGCATTAAGTAAAACAACTGATCAAACAGTTACTTTAGATACTTCCAAGAGAAAACAATTATGTGAAAAAAAATCGAAAGCAATTTAGTCTTTATCATATCGTTATTTTTATTTTTTCAAACGATATAACAAATTGGAAAAGAAAATTCAACGTGCACCATTTGTTCAACATATTGAAGATAATACGTATTGATTGTCTTAATGAATAGATTTTTTGGGTTAAAAAAAACTTCGTGGTTATACTTGAAATTTGTCAACAATTTAGATGTTCTAGTAATTATTTGAGTTTTTTTTAGATAAATAAATAAATGAAACTAAATGGTAATATCTCTTAATTAAGACTTATCTTTTTCGAATGAATCGACATTTAAACATTGACTAAGATTAACTATTTTTTGGTACTTCAAAATGTTAAAAAACCTAATATGAATACCTGATTTAAACAAGTGTGTGTATATGTATAGTTAACTTACTGCTTTCAACGTTTAAATCGAACAATTGTTTCTTTTACATCGTTCAAAATTTGTTGAATTAATTTTTTACAGAAGAATGTAGAAAATAGAAATTACATTTAATATTTAATAGAATAGTGGAGAAAAATATTTTTATGTTGAAATTTTGAAAATTTTGATATTTTCGACGTTTCGGACGACTACGTGTCCATTTTCGAGAATCACCACCAGGTATTGATATTGATGTACCACCACGACCTAATTTTAAAATAATTGAAGCTCAAACACCACGAGGAAATAATTAAAATATTTATTTTGAAGATGAGCATTAATTGACAATACATTTAATATTTGATGGAATAGTGGAGAAAAATATTTTTATATTGAAATTTTTGAAAATTTAATATTTTCGACGTTTCGGACGACTATGTGTCCATTTTCGAGAATCACCACCAGGTATTGATATTGATGTACCACCACGACCTAATTTTAAAATAATTGAAGCTCAAACACGACGATTTTTCAAAATTTCAATATAAAAATATTTTTCTCCACTATTCTATTAAATATTAAATGTATTGTCAATTAATGCTCATCTTCAAAATAAATATTTTAAT